CATCGCACCATTTGTCTTTATTTTCCAAAGTCGAAACGATTAACTTCTAGTTGATATAATGAAGTTTAACTGGTCTATCTCGACGCGGAGAGAGTTCTACTTTCATTCGAACCATTAAAAAAAAAAAGATAATTCCATTCCGAATCAGGAAAGTGCCGATGTTTTCGAGGTCCGCAGCTGAATGAGAAAACGGTACCTGTCGAAAAGCGAGAGGGTCTCAAGTAGTTGACCTAGTGCCCGAGGGAGTAGGATATCACCGAGAGGTTCCTCCTACCAGCGAATGTAAGAGAGAGATCATTAAACTCTGAATGGCATCGAATTACCTTGATCTTCCTCTCTTGCCAAGGCAATCAAAAAGAAACGGCAAAACGAAATGACAAGGGACTATCCAAGTTATGTCACATTTCAAGGTAATTAAAATAGAAGTGATAAGTTAGGATAGAGATTGTTTTATTTTTATTGATTATTTAATAAAAATGGTTTTAACTCGAGATCCAAATGCACGCGATGTGATTTTCGATTCAACTGTAAATAATTACTTTATTCTTATTAAATTATAATTAATTGTTTACCAGGCTTTTTATTCTTTGTTCCACTTCTCTCACATTATTTTGTTATAGCAATACCTATAGCAATAGTAATTACCGCGTATATTTCGATTTTTTTTTCTCTTTTTTTTTCGAATTCTTGCCTTTTTTCGAGAATTGAAATGAATATTATTTACGATATTCAGATTGATTTGGGAATTAATTGGCTCAACCATGAGCCAACATTGAACCAATATTGTGCCAACTTTGCTCCAACCTTGGACCAGCATTGAGCCAACATTAAACCGACATCATCGCTATGAATTTCGAATGTGAAAATTACGTTTTCTCATGCCCTAACAGAAAATCGATTCTCCACATCCAAGAAATTTCAAATTTCGAGTGGGAAAATTGTTCCAATTAAAAATTGCTATGAGAACTCTCAATCCAAAGTCAATCAACCAAACATGAAA